AATTTCAATGTTTTCTTCGTTCATTGCTAACGATGGGAAACGCATGGTTCTAAGGATAGTCGCTTCATTCCATTTAACTACAGAGTCCACTACTTGTGTTATACTGGACAAAACTGTGTGTTGCAGTACCCTTTATTAATACAGTAGAGTCCCGAAAACTCGGCACTCGATAACCCGGCAGTCCAGATAACTCGGCCATACCCTGGCAGGGCGAAAAAACCCCTAGTTAATTTTCATTATAGACAGCTTTATGCCTGATAAAGTATTTTTCTGAAATCTGTCTTATCAGGTACACTGTGTATTCATTAATTTTCATTTTCATGTAGTAAAAGCCTTCATAAAGTACTTACTTTTCCTTTGTTTAAGGGTATTTGGACTGTTTATTCTCTGTTGTATTCTCAAGCAAACAATACATACAACTACAGTACAGTATTTTCTGAGGAAACACTCGTACTTATTTTTTAAAACCCCATTCCCGATAACCCGGCATTTTCACAAACTCGGCCACCCTTCGGTCCAAATTAGGCCGAGTTTTCAGGACTCTACTGTATATATTTGTGCTCCTTAAGTCTAATAGCTAACCTTTTTCTGGTGACTCCAATGTAATCTTTCTTAATTCCTAATTGCTGTCTTTCAAATGGAATTTTATATACGTTCGCTTTTTCTTCTTTCTTAAGCATGTCTTTATCGTTTTTCAGAATACTATACTATATAAATTAGGAGCTCTTATGAAAACTATTTTGGAATGTTATATTGTCATATTTTCCGACCGCTAGATGACGCTTTTACACGTGCGTGCAGGCAGCGACTAACACTTGACTTCATTCATTCCTGTCAACATTATAACTCAAGAATGAGTTGTTCAATCTTGATGAAATTTTCTAGGACGACTCAGAATCTCTCAAGGATGAAAGTTTTAAAATTTCAACCCTCAAAAATTATCCATACTACAGAAAAACGCGACCTTCGTTTTGATTCCTATCTCCAGTTCTATAAAAATAGATCATTTTTGTGAGTTGAAATTTAAATCAGTTCATCCTTGAGAGACGATGAGTCGTCGTAGAAAATTTCATCAAGATCGAACAACTCATTCTAGAGTTATAATGTTGACAAGAAATGCACGAAGTCAAGTGTTAGTCGTCACTCGACTTCGCCTCGCTCGTAGCTAGTCTGAATGTAAACTAGCTCAAAATTTCGATGAATATACACGAAAATTATATATATATAACGAATGCTGTAAAGTAATTTTAGTTTTACGAACACTTTTTTAATGATGGCAGCTTTTAAAATATTTTTAAAGTGCTTCTCGTTACCAGTGATCTCGTCCTAAGAGACTCGTTGCTGATTTTTTTTAATGCCTAATATTTTGCATTTTAAATTCTTAATGAAATAATATCGGCACCCTTTATATATACTTTTTAACTGAAGTTTAAATTGTGTTAATGGGTACTGTACTTGAAGTTTAATAAATATAAAACAAATATGAAAACATTATAAACAAGCGTGTTATTTTCAAGATAATTCGAAAATGTTTCGATAATTAAACGTAATAAAATATAGAATATATTATACAAATATTTTTATTACGTCGATAAGTAAAACTTTGAAAAATACGTTTGTCTGATCTTTCAATAATCTCTGTCACGGTGGTTATATTGTGTGTTGAATTACTCAAAATTTTAATTATTTTTGCAATATATAACAACTGTAATATTTTCCCCTAATGCGAAATATTAAACTCAAGTTAACAAAGCCTACGCTGATGTATTCGACTAGACAATGTGCAAGTTGGATAAAACTATTTAACTTTTATTTCACAAAATTTTTCCAAAATTCTTCACTTTTTAATTGTTAAGGTCGAAGAATTTACCGAAATTATCTAAACTTTTTATTTTATTAACCTTTATCTGTTATCTGTAACATTGAATTTTGATGTGTTATAGTAAATTATCAGAGTATAAAAATATTCTGATATATAAAATTTTCAAATAAATTTTAAATTTCATTATAAAATAAATAAACCCGAAAATCAAAAGTTTTAAAACACAGT